GGGGGGGGGGGAGAGAGAAGAAAAAAGAGAGAAAGAAGAAGAAAAGGGACTATTCCTGATCAACCTTTGTAGCGATAGCATCCCACCAGGGACCGTGAGCAGCCCTATCGACGGTGCCCACCCGATCGAGCAGGTCAGACATCTGCCTCACCCGCTCGACAAACTCGGACAGACCTAGCGACGCCAACCTCTCGCCGGCCGTGTTGGCCGCCTTGACCTTTTCGCTCGCCGACGACGACGCCGGTGCCAGGCGGGAGAGGATGTTGCCCCTCAGACGGGCGTGCAGCAGTCTCAGGACTGGTTCGCGGGGCTCGGCCGAGCTGGAGGCGGAGGCGGATGCAGACCACTCGTTCGACGCGGACAGGACCTTTGTCACCAGCGCACGCAGATGACCCTTTGTAGCGGCCGGCATCGATCGGCCCGCCTCCAAGGCGGACATTGTCCCGTCCACGGTCGCTTCCAGCGTCCAGCCCGAGGAGGGGGACGAAGATCCCGACGGGGGGGGTGGGGATGATGAGGAGGAACGTCCCGGACGAGGGGAGGCCTCCTCCAGCACGGCCATGACGCGGGCCGCCTCCATCTTCCACGGCGATCGTACGTCCCTCTTGAGCAGGTTCTTGCACTGCAGCAGCACGGCGCCGGCCGTGACGATCCTGCGCAGCGACGTCGACACGTGCGTTATCCTCGACGCGTCGAGCCTGAGCATCTCGGGCACGGCGGCGAGCGCACCGTCGTCGCCGCCGCCGCCGCCGCCGCCGTCTCCGCCGATGAGCGGCGTCGTGAAGACGTCGACCAGCATCTGCGCGTAGATGCGGGACGCCGTAGGCCGCGACTTGGGGTGGTTGACGGCCTCCGGGTCGCGCCTGGCCGCCTCGGCGAGGACCTTGGACCGCGCCGCCCTCCAGGCTGCCTCTGCGGCCGCCAGTCCTACCCTGCCGCTCTCGAAGTCGTCTGCGAAGCGCTTGGCCTCGTACTGCGGCGCCGACTCGATGAGGCCCGGAGCCGCCACGCGGAGGAGGTAGTTGACGTAGTCGCCCAGCATGACGTCTATGAAGCCGCTCAGAGCCTCGACGCGGTCAATCAGGTTGCTGTCGTCGCTGCTGCCGCCGCCGGCGGAGAATGGGGAGGACGAAGAGGACGAAGATGAGGATGGCGGGGCCCCAACCGGCAGCAGACGGTTGCGTATCAGGTCGGCCACCTCTTCGTCGCGGAACGGCGCGCACAGCTTGGGCAGCATCGACGCCATGGCCGTGAAGAACTTCTCGTACGAGAAGCTGCCCAGGAGGAACTGCCGCTCCGCCATCTCGGGGTCTAGCATCTCGTCTATCAGCTTGTACATCGAGTTGCCCGGCTTCAGCAGCCGCTGCAGCTTGTCCTTGATGTCGCCCGCCATGGCCATGAAGAGGCGGAAGTCGTTGTGCGTCTTGTCCGTGCTGCTGCCCATGTTGGCGCGCATCCGCTCGAACAAGGGCCGCGACATGGCCGCCTGAAGCTCCTGGTACTCCTCCGCCGGGATCTGGTACTCCTTGTTGAGAGCGAGCTCGTGCACCACGATGCGGTTGTCCGGGAGGAGACCGTTGAAGCCGGACCTGACGGTGACAGGCTTGCGCTGCTGCTGCTGAGGCTGCTGCGGCTGCGGCTGCGGCTGTCGGCTTCCGGAAGCAGGCGTGGCCGGAGGTGTGAGGAGGGGACCGTTGCTGCTGCCGCTACCACCGGTGCCGTGATCTTTGCTGTTGCCGCTGCTGCCGCTGCTGTCTCTGTTGCTGTTGTCTCTGCTGCTGCTGCTGCTGCTGCTGCTGCTGCCGTTGGCGGCCGTAGTGGTGCCGTGCGAGTCCGGCGGGGAGACGAGACTGCTGGCCGCGGCAGAGGCTTCGCTGGGGGTGGTCTCGGCAACACGCGGCTTCGTGTCGCCGGTGCGCTTCTTTGTGCGGCGCGACCTGCGCGCCTCGCTGACGGCGTCGAAGATCATCTTCTTGCCCTTGTCCTGGCCGGCGAGCTTCTTGATGCGCACGATCAGCATGAGCTGGCTGTCCTGGATGCTCTGGCGGTACAGGGCCGAGGCGGCGTCGTCGGTCGAGTCTCGCACCGTCTGGAAGATGGCGTCGAGCTCGACGAACTGCATGAGCATCACCTCGATGAGCGCGTTGGAGTCGCGCGACTTCCAGGCGATGAAGGCGTTGTGGAAGACGGCGTAGGCCTCTGGCAGCGTCTTGCAGATGGCCGGCGGCACCGTGTACCGGTTTGCCCAGGTCAGGCGGGCGAGGATGTTCTCAAACGTGATGAGGAGGTCTTTGGCCTTGCCTACCAGGTCCTGCAGCTGCGGGTTGTCCAGGTCCGCCGCGGGCAGGCGGTGCGCCATGCTCAGGACTTCCCCGCCGCCGCTGTCTTCGTCCGTCTTGTTGGCCAGCACCTGGTTCGGGTGACCGAGGATGAGGAAGGCGCTCAGAAAGGTGCGTACGGCCGACATCTCGCCCACGGACCCCGGTGCTCCCTCCTGCAGGCCGCAGGTGCGGAGCAGACGGGCCGTGGCCACCAGCACCTTCTCCTGGGCGAGCAGCTCCGTGACCGTGTCGAAGGACGTGTCACGGATACCGTCGACCGACAGGCCGAGGTTGTTGAAGTCCCGCATCGCCTTCTTCCGGGAACACGCGAGCCACCAGTCAGCGATCCTCGAAGCGGCAGCCTCCGGAGTCATCGGGGGACGCGCCTCCTCCTTCCCCTCGTCCTCATCGTCCTGCACCTGAGCGGAAGCCTCGGCTCCGGGAGAGGGGGAAGGGGATTTGCGGCCGGGAGAGGACGTGGCGGTGTTCTGACCGTTGCTGGTGCTGTGGCTGTGGCCTCTTGGCCGGTTGCTGCTGTTGTTCCTCCTGCGCAGCTCGTCTCGACGACGCCTCTCGGCCTCGGCCATGCGCTCCTCCATCTGTAGCCTCATCTTGGCGATGCCCTGCTCGCGCTTCTCCCTGACGGACTCGGCCACGAGCTTGGCCTTCTTGACCTCCTCGGCGCAGCTGGCCACGATCTCGGCGAGGTTACGCTCCCTGGCCAGCTGGGCGGCGACCGCGCGGTCGTGGGAGACCGAGGCGTCGCGCGTGGCAGCCTTGGCCACGGCGGCCCTGAGGCGGACCTTTTCGGCATGGGCGGCACGGTCGGCAAGTCGGGCGCGGCGGTCCTCGAGGAAGGAGGCTCGCCGTAGGTGCTGCGCGACGTGTTTGCTCTGGTCGCCGCCGGCACCGGACTGCTGCTGCTGGAGGGACGATGAGCATCGAGAGTGTGCAGAGGACATGGAGTTGCGGCGCGACGACGCAGCAGACCCCTTGCGTCGAGCCTGCGAGGGCCGGTAGAATCGAGCGGCTATGCGTGGCGGGGGCGTGTACATTATGGCGGCGCTGTCGTGATCCCAGATGGCGATGTCGTCGTCGCTGGGGGGGAGTGTGAGGTCGACATCCTCTCGGTGGATGTCGTCGTGTTCGATCTTGTCATGCTGCTGGACGTTGTCGTCCATCATGCTCGTGTCGCTAGGGACGGGGCTGCACGGCTCAGCCAAGTCGAGAGAATGGCGACGCATGTTATGTGTGTGTGTGTGTGTGTGTGTACGTGTGCGTGGGTGCGTGTGTGTGCGTATGTGTGTGTGTGTGTGTGCGGG